CAAAGGTTTCATTTTTTTCAAATGTGTTAGGTTAGTTTTTAGCAGTGGTAGCAAAACAGAAATGAGGCATTGAACCTAAGTAGCCCGCCTTCTGCTGCCCTGGGGAGGAGGAAGGGTTTGAGAGAAGGAAAGAAAAATTTTGCTTTTCTTCTTCTTCTTTTTAATAGATTATGTTTTTAGAGCAGTTTTAGCTTCACAGGCTTTTTTTTTATTCTTTATATGCTCTCCTCCTAATGTCCTCTTCTCTTCTTTCGCTCTCAACTGAGCACTAGAAAGGAATTTTTACATCCTGTTTTCTGAATGTGGCTTCATGTTCCTGTCCTAAAGTTTTTATTTTCTTCAAGTTACTATGAACTGCGGTTGTTGGTTACTAAGTGTTCTAACTCTGCAACTTACTTAAAAGATGGGGACTGCAATCATAAGTTATTTTTTACTCCCATAAAACCCTTGACGGATTTAACAACCCCCACCCCATAACTAAAGTGAATGACTTTCAAACTTTCAAAACATTTTTTTAAAACGTGTCAGGCCCTTTACTGAAGACATTTCAAATTGCAACCCAGTACACATATAAACATGTAAGTGAAATAAAAGTTTCTCAAAGCAGGACTTACCTTCACCATTTATTCTTATAACAAGCACTCTTCTATTCTCTGCCACTTCTTATCTTCTAAAGTGGGCTTTGACCTGCAGCTTGAAAAACTGGGCGGTAAAGACTGCAAGTCCTTGGGAATGGAGCCCCCTAGTGACCAGTCACACTCATTTGCACTGGAAACATGTCGGAAATAAAATCATATTTTAGACATCTTATTTTTGCCAAAAGTTGGTGATGTTACAAAGATCAACAGAAAGGGAGGAAGAAAACAAATGTGTCTGGAAAAACCAGGACTTTTTAAAAGATAAACAGTGAAATAGAAGGTACATTTGTTATTGCACATCATCCTGAAGTCTGGACTGGCCTGTCTGGACTCTGTAAGATTTTAGTGAAATATTGTAATTATGCCTGAATGCACCAAATTAGCTCACTGTGCTGTCATTTTTGATGTCTGGAACAAAAATGCCTTTCTGAGTCTGTACAGTTGAACGTTTGTGACTATGAGTTTGCATATCTTAAGAACTCAACATATTTTGTCAATTTATTTTCAGAAATTCGGACGATACAGGCAGGCCATCCTTGCTAGGCAAGCAGCTGAATGACTGAGTCTGTGGGCATCTTGCCTGTCAGCCGGCATCACAGGAGTCTGGGTACATGGCTGTAATGACACTCTGACTTGCGGGAGAGGCCTAGAGGACATAACCCAACGTCTTCATCCAGCAGAGAAAAGGGACGTCCAGCTTGGAGCTGGTGGCCCAAGAAAATGAGATTGTGGACTTGGATGTTGGTCTGGACTTGAGCCCAGGTCGTTTCCCTTCCTGTGTGATGCGGGCTGATGTTCGTCTCCCTGAATGCTGAGTCACAGTGGACATGGAGAGCAGTCCTGTGGACTGACCATCTTGCGGAAGTCCACTCATCAGTGCATTTCAAGACAGGCATTTCCAGAATGATTTTGACAGGAAAACCGGGGGACCGTTTGCTTATAATAAGCATTTCAGGAAGACATAAAATCACGAAATCACAGGAAGGGACCTCCTAGCATTCTCAGTCCAAATAAGGGCATTAAGGGTCTGCCCAAAGTAGTTGACAAAAACTAGGACTAGAAGCCATCTCAGCTTTCCATGCCAAAGCTCTTTCTGCAACACAAGGAGGACCAAAAGGAAGGAGAAGACGAGTTTTGTTTTCCCTTGACAGCGCCTTTCCAATAAAGAATTATGCACTTTTGCAAGGCTTCAAGTTCTCACGCTGCTGAACTTCGGTGACATGACTTTGCAGTCTTCTCTGATATTCATTGAAATAATCCCACTTGAGATGAAAAAGGAGCAAGAAAATTAATTTAGTGAATATGAAGTCCTCCTTCACCCTGTTGAAGAATATATTCCAAAGTTTGCCCCAACGTGGAGTGGCCTGGAGAATGGGGCTCGAGACCAATGGGACTGAGGTTCACACGCCAGCTCCACCTTTGTGTTTTTTAGCTTCATTCCCCAACCCTGCTGGTAAAGTAACAAACAAACAAAAAAACCAATCCACCTACATGGAATTGTTAATGTGCCATATTTGTAAAGGACCCTGGCACATAGGAAAATCAACTGCCAATTATCCTTTCCTTTAAATTGGCTAAAAAATGAGTTTGTTAACTGAGTTATATCTTCAATCTGTTCTTGCATATGTATTCCCATGGGAACCAAACCTCGAATGATGTACCCATTTGGGCAAAGGAAAAAGAGAGATCATAGAAACCTTTCGGGGCTGGTACAGGTCTGCGGAGTCATGGAATTCTCAGAAACACACAATGACTTCCATTCCCTACTTAATAGCTCAATCACCCCAACCTGGGCATCTGATTTCAGCCAATCTTCCACTCCTCCACCCCTACCACTCTCAAATAAAAGAATAAAGTTAGGTAACTCCTAAGTTTCCAGTGCTTTGCTATGTTTAGATGTCTAACAAAACTAATAATGAAATCATGTGGTTCTAAGAGGGAGTCTTAGAGAATATGAAAATTTCTTACTCTACTTGAGGTTTTATGTGATGATAATCAGTGCCGTTTATTAAGACCCCACGGGCTAGGCACTATGCGCGCATTATGAGTCCTCACAGCTGCCTCAGGAGGTGGAAACTGTCATCACCAGAGCTGGAAAACCAAGGCCCAGGTAGGTGGAATAATGAGGCCAGGATCTGCAGCCAGGCTGAGCCCAGGGCCAGCCGCTGCCCGCTCTGCACATCCTTCCTTATTTTCCTGTCCCTCCTCCCAGACTCCTTCAGCACTTAGTCCGTGCCACATGACGTAACAATCCCATGCCATCTTGTCCTGTCTGAGGGCTAGATTTATCTCATGGCTAAATGTAAGCACTGCTGTGTCCCCATCCTCAAGCACATAATTTAGATAAAATAACCTACACGTCACAGCTGGACTAAGACATCTCGAATAGGGATGGCTTTCTTCTAGGAGAAAAATAGTTTTAGTTAGTATATGGTTCATATTTTCAATGAAGTTTCAAACTAGAAAACAGTTTCTCTTTAGCCAACTAGCCTCAGAAGCTTGAAATGTTCCACTTTTAAACTCTGCAAATGCACTAAGTATTAAGTAAATGAATGTAGACAAAAAGGTATTTGGATTTGATTGGTCCTTAAATGCCTACAGACTTAGAAAATGAGCCCTGGCCGGTTTGGCTCAGCGGTTGGAGCGTCGGCCTGCGGTACAGAGAGACCCGGGTTCGGTTCCCGCTAAGGGCACGTACCTCGGTTGCAGTTTGTCCCCAGCCCTGGTTGGTCGTGCGGGTGGCAGCCACTCGATGTGTCCCTTCACATTGATGTTTCTCTCTCTCTCTCCTCCTCTCTCTCCCTCCTGCTCTATCTGCACAAAAAATGGAAAAATGTCCTCGGGTGAGGATAAAAAAAGAAAATGATATAAATGTAATACCTATCCAAATCTGGGAGAAGTTGGATTCAAAGAGCTTGAAAAGGACTAAGGGGCAATTAAGTTTGTTGCTCATTTTGAGTGAGGGCGATGATGTTCACTAACATACACACTGTGGAATCTTAGCCACAATACCTCTCTGGGCCTTTTCCTTCAATTGCAGAATGACTAATGTTGATGCATCAACTTTTTCATACTTTGACCACTAGCCATAGCAAGAAACTAATGTTCATCATGACTTAGTACATACACATTTATATCCGAAACAAATTTCATGAAGCAGTAACTTATCCTTGTGCAACGTACTTTGACATTTGTCATATTTTCTCAATAAAATACTGATTGCCCCTCACTAAAATGATCTCATGAGTCCTCCCTATTTGTAAAAGTGTGAAAAACACTAAGTGGTCTCATATTATTTAAGAATAAAATTCTGCCCTGGCCGGTTTGGCTCAGCGGTTAGAGTGTCGGCCTGCGGTCCTGAGAGACCCAGGTTCGGTTCCCGCTAAGGGCATGTACCTCGGTTGCAGTTTGTCCCCGGCCCTGGTCGGCTGTGCGGGTGGCAGCCACTCGATGTGTTCCTTTCACATCGATGTTTCTCTCTCTCTCTCTGTTCCTCTCTCTCCCTCCCACTCTACCTGAACAAAAAATGGAAAAATGTCCTCGGGTGAGGATAAAAAAAAAAGAATAAAATTCTGTGAAAGAATAGAAACATAATTTCCATCTTATTCTTTCCAAAAAGTCTTAGAAAATCATGCAATTTCTACTGTTGTAGCATTCAGTGAATGGCAGCGCCACCACCTCCAGTCATTTTATAGGCGTCCCCTCCCGGCGGTTCAGAAGCACAGTAGTGAAAAACGTGTTTCAGAACTTTATAGGCTATACCGTCTTATGATGTGGCAAATGGTAAGAAAGTGACAGTGCTGATTTTTCTTAGTGGCTCCCCACCTACCTGTAAAATGGAGCCTCTTTATCTTTTCCAGTAATAAAACTTATAGAATTTCCTGCCCAGTCCCCCAGCCCTGTAAGCAGAGAGGTGGCCTGGCTAGTACTGAAAAAGTGTTTCCTGGTATTAACCTAGAAGAGACATACAATGTCAACCATTTTCTGAGGGCCAATCTGCAATGTTTACACAGCTCTGGCTTCTTGAGTGACTTAGGTTCTTACGACTTGAAAAATGCCAGGGCAGACAAGCAGTCTCGCAGCAAAACCAACAAGCGCCCAATTACTTTGTTTGCACAGATGCAAAAGCATGAACATTTATATGGTGAGGTCTGAATTCCAAAGTTTGTTTGTTTTGTTTTTAATTACACACCCAACCAAATGCATAAAATCCCACAAAATGAGTGCAGAGAAAAATGTCATCTTTTCTATTTTTAAACTGAAATATGGACTCATAAAAGCGAGGCTGTCATAAATTTTCACTTGTGGACAAAAACCACTATAACCAGAAAAAAACGCATACACACACCCAAAGTTAACAGTGGTAAACAGTTTTTATTCAGGCAATGAAACATGGAAAAAATATATTAGTAATCATTATAATAATTTCATTTGTGTGAGTATAACTCTTACAAATATTTACCTGACATATAAAAGGGAAATTACTGTGCATATAAAATCTATGTAGATGATCATTCCACACGACACAATCCTGACAGCAGTAGTTAATGCAGCGCTCATCCTCCAGACGAGGCTCCTCACACACTTCATGGCACCCGTGGGGACACGGTGGGAGCAGATGTGCAATTAACAGTTACTTGTTGGCACATGGGTACAAATGGGTATCTACTGGCAACACACTTGCTAACAGCAACACTGAAAGTTTACTGCTACCTCTGAGATTTAAAAGAAATACCTGGGTCCTGTCCCATTGGGTGAGAAGGACCAGGGCCGAGGTTGTGGGTGTGGTGACAGACTGCCCTGTATCTGGACTGGGGGTGGTTTCTGAGTTCCAATGTTTATGTGTCCACTTGGAAACTATTAAGATAGAATATTGGTGAACCATGTGACTGGGAATACTTTTTGGAGTCTATTCAGATAGCACTAAAAGGCAGAGGGGAGAAAGTGGCAGCTTTACAGTTCTGAAGAATCGACACAGGGAAGGTTCAAGCCACACCTCAGCCCCACACCTGGACTCCTCCAAATGAGTTAAGACTGTCAGCATTGCACGCAACATCTCTATATTAGAACTATAATCAGAATATATATTTATATATATGTAATAGCTGTAACCATATTATAGTTAATAAGGTCATTCCTTAGGAATCTTGTTTGTCCAAATCTAACTGCATGCTAAGAGGCACAGAAATGGGATTGCATTTGGACAAAGAACTACAAAAAGTGCAATCTTTAGTCTCCAGAATGCTAGCTCTGGGCACTAGGGAGAGTCTTCCCTGGAAATGCTGCCATTTACATGATCTTCCAGAGGAGATCCGTAGAGAGAAGTGTCCGACTTATTTACCTTTCCTATATAGGAGACTCAAGGTTTGAGGGATAAATTGCTCTTTAAAAATCACTAGGATCTGGAGGCCAGTCAAACCTTTTTGGACAGAAGTCTCCTCAAAACATTTCTATTAAAATCTTTGAAGAGGATGACTTCTTAGACCTTTGGCCTGACATTCTGGGATCCCCAGACTATATTTGTTTTTTAATAAGCAAATAATAATCTGCTAACTTTAAAATTATTCAGAATATATACATCTTTGCTTTAAAATGCTTTGCCTGAATCATTTAATCTTTCAACACCTAGATTCTCTCTTTCCAATAAGAGGACAAAGTAAGAAACCCAAGTCCGAGAGCACACTCACATGGTCACAAAACCACAACGAAAAGACAATAGTCATGGGCGGTTCCGTGAGTCGGCTGCTACTTGTAGTGAAAACCAAAAGGGAATAAAGGATGAGCTTTAGAGTTTTGATGCCACTAGAAAAAGATGTACTGAATCATATCCAACTAGTGCACACAAGATTACCAATGCTTGCTCTTTAAAAATTCCATTCTGAGCTGTAGATAAGCCACCAGCCTCAGCTGCCTTTATCTAAGGTGAGTGCTTCCCTCTAGCTGCTTTCCGACAACTCAGGAGCATCTGGGCAGTTTACTCCTCCCGGTCACGAACAGGACTAACTCAGAGCTGTCCAGTGAAGATCTAAGTATCGGTGTGAGAGTTGCACAAAGTGTGGGACAGGTAGAAAGGGTAACTGGCTAGAAAGAAAATTCCACTTGAGCAAGCCCCCAAAACCAAACATAAATCTCCCTTTAGAGTCCATATCATTCTGGAAGGCGGCCAGATACTCAGTTTTGCACCACCCCGTGTTTATGTACTTCCTAATTTGGGCTGCGTCTGAAGACACGGGAAATCACGTGAGAAAACGAGACTTCTCAATATTTCCAGAACAGTTTTACAGAACAAAAGGTTTGGGCAGGCCTTCAGGAGCTTCTCCCAATGTAGTCAATTTCAGGAGGTCTGACTGTAACTGATCAGCCAACCAAGTGACAAACTGTTCAGTCTCCAATTAAAATACTTGAAGAGAAAGACTACCTATCTACGCTTTGGCAAAGTCAAAAACTTAAAAAATGGCTCTGGATCCAGAGCCTCAACAAGATCGCCTAATACCTACCAACCACAACCTAGGCCAGCAACTTCCATTCATTTCTCCTCACTTTTGTAACTGGGTTTTTATTGCTTAACAAGCAATCTGGCCCTCTGGGGGTCAACTCTAGGCTATATTTTTACTCTCTGGAGTTTTTTTGCTTATTTAAAAAAAAATAAACAAATACACTTTATTCTGTCCAGTATATTCTCTTGATTTGCAGCTACATTTTTATTCTTGTTGAGCAATATCCACCTATTGAATTGGAAGAACATATTTTTGTAATGGTCATGCCTGAGAGGCCAGAGGCAAATATTACTTAACAAGGACCCTCTCGTATTCCTTGTGCAACAACCTCATTCTACAATCTAGTTTTTAAGGGGTCTTTTACCAGTGTGCTAAGGAAGGATTGTCGTCACCTGTTTTAATACACAGCTACCTTCTTTTTAATATACACAAGAAACCTAAAAGGAGGACTAGGATTTATAATGGAGACCATTAGAAACCTTCCATGCTTAAAACAAATCAACAGAAAACAAGTAAACATGGACATGTCACCAAAATACAGCAGCAGCAAAAAAGTTTAGCAATGTTTCTTTCTGCAAAATGCAGTTAATTTTCCTGGTAGGAGAGGACTAAACAAGAAAATCAGTGACACACCTGGGGACACCTGTACTCCACCGTGCTTAGACTACAGTATAAGCACTCACATTGATCCAGTGACTGTTTTCAAAGCCCAAATGATTGTCAAGTCACTTCTCCAACCACAGATCACTTCTGTTGTTCTTTTTTGTACAAAATGGTAAGACAATAGGCTTTAAAATACAGCCTAAGCACCAATTATGATAAACGTATATTGGTAAAACATGACTTCTGGCTTTAAAAGACATGACTGACCTTTCTGGGGCTAATGATTGTACCCATGTGAATAGCACACTTCTAAAGAAAAATTCATGTTGAAAGATCTATAGAAGTTCTCCACTAGGCACAATTCATTGCTAAAGTTGGATCATGCAACAGTTTTACAGGAAAAGTACGAAAACTTACATGTACTGAATATAGTGCATATCACCATGAAGACTTTCAGGGTGTTAAGATTAAGACAAAAGAGTGCTTTAAAACACTTGTAGGGATTGGGTTTTGCCTATCAGATGCTAGGGAATTCACTGGCGACAGTGCAGTTTCCAGTTGGGTGCTGACGGCCCACCACCCTGACCAAGTGCAGGAAGAGCGGAGGAGCCGGGTTCTGCGAGTGGCTGTGCTCCCTGCTCTCCCCTCCTCCACTAGTCAAATGGCCTTTGTTTAAAAATATTCAAAATGCGCTGATTATCAGAGTGGTTCACATGATTTTTACTGCCCATTTTGTTAAAAATTCTGTCTTAAGTTTGAAAGGACTTTTTTTGCCTTAAAGAAAAAATCTGAAGAACAAGGCATAACACTTGGGAAAATCAAATGTTTCTTCATCTCATCATTGCTGATGGTGTTACAGTTACCCTTTAATTATATAAGATCATCTAAACCTTTTACAAGTAGATTTTCTTGGCATATTTCAAATAGATAATAAAGAGGAGATACTGGTTTTGTAGCAACAAGTAAAGCAGAGGAGACAAAGAGGTTCCAGACGACCTAGCCACACCCCAGCTCTGAGGGAGCCCCACTCTGCTGTTCATGCAGAAAGCAGACACTATCAGCCTGCGGACTAACCCCAAAGGGCCACATTCACACTCATCAAGGCTGAGCCGTGTCCAAATACCAGGACAACAAAATAGGACAGCGAAGTCTTCCCTGGACGTGCAACCTGAGCCAGGGTTATGGGTCATGACAGACAGGAGTCTGGGGTTTTCACTCTTCAACCCCTCAAAATTCTGAAGTTGGTATTCTGAGCCTGGACTCTATTCCAAAAGAGGCTTTTGCACTTATGGAAACAAGCTCTTCTGTGGAGTTCTCATTTGACTAAGCTTCAGGGGAAAAGCAGCAGCATATGTAAGTGTGTGTGTGTATGTGTGTATAAATGGGTACTCAAGAGTCCCTTCTTGTTTACAAATCAGATGTGACAAAAGCCAAATTACCTCCCCAAATAAAACCACTAATACTAAGAATTAAATTTAAAAGATGAAATAAATAGGTCTCCAAAAATATCAGACAGGAGATGGCCCCAAAGAGTAGCCATAAAATAACAAATTTAACACACCTGGAAAAGTAAAGCTGACTTGAAAGTGAACTGAAGACAGAAATCACAAACCCAACTTAGCAGCCTGTCTACCTGGCCCCATCGACGGCGCTGTGAAGGACTCGAGGACCAGCAGAGCCCACTCCTCCGTGACTGTGCAACACTCCAGGGTTTCTTCCAGGGCTGTGCGTCGGCAGCAAAGCGGGACAGGCAGCAGTAGGCATGTGCTTTTACAAAGTTTTTTTTCTCTGCAAAGGGGAATAATTCCTGGATAAGGCAAGATAACTGTGGTCACGACAGAAGCAGCCAGATGCACATCTGCTGAGCTAACGGGAAACTCAGTCAGTCTTTCCCAGCTTTGCAATCAGCTCGTCACAGATTTTCGTCAGTTCTTCGATTTCTTGGTTCTGAAAGACAATGATGCGATTGAGCAGGTCATCTGTCCTGAGATAAAGGCAATCGTAACTAATAGTCCCAAGATCGGATATACTCTAACTCATTGGCTCTGAGGTTTTCTACATCAGAGACCCTTTAAAGAAAGTGGGGCTCGATACTCTCTCCTGGAAAATGCTCTTGTGTTCACAAAGTTATGCTTAAATTGGGTAGAGGGTGAAAGTAGTCACTGGCCCTCTGCAGCTTGCCCATGAATCTCTTAGTTTTCAAATTTTCTTGTTTCACAGGAATTACCTGGGGTACCTGTTAAAAACACAAGTATCGGGCCTCACTCAATCCATTACCATCTCCAGGGACCTGGGATTCTTGAGTCCTCGTATGCCGGGAACACTGTCATAGGGGTTATCAGACCCCATGGTAAGAATCCTGTCCTAATTGAATGGAGGCCACAGGCACGAGTACACAACTGGAACATAGGGAGAAAAACACTAGAACACAAAAGCTGAAGCCCGAGAATTGCTGAGCAGGGACTGCTGTTACCACTGATCTTTATTTATCTACAGCAGTTTCTCCACCATGCACACTGGCATTTTGGGCTGAGTCCGTCTTCATCGTGGGGGTATCCCGTGCACTGTAGGATGTTTGGCAGCATTTCTGGCCTCTGCCCACTAGATGCCAGTAGCATCTCCTAGTCATGACAACTAAATATACCTCTATGTGTTGCCAAATGTTCCCTGAAGGGTAAAATTATATTCAACGGGGGAGACAGATTCATATATTACATTAAAAATAATAAAGAAATTTTTAAAAGGGGAGCCTCAGAACCCAACTAAGCAGCATTTGGTGCCTGCAGTTCAGACAATGCCACCTCCTCTCTGCACCCCACCTGTGGACAGTTCCCACCGATATGCCTGGGAGTTTGCCTTGTCTCCCCGAATCAGTTCACAAAGGAGCTGGATCGAAGTGTCTGGGCAAAAAGGCAAGCCCTCTTTCCCTGCCAAGGACAAATACCCAAGGTCTCCGTCACCACTCCATGCCCTTATGTACCTTCTGCTGAAGGGCCCTTTCCAGGGACTCCACCTTCATCTGCTCCTTCCGGAGTCCTGCATGCAGAGCTGCACTCTCAGCCTTTGCTTTTGTTCGAACCTGAGCAATCTCTTCATTGGCTCTGTTTATGGTGATTTGTTTACAGAACAAAGGGATGAAAAGCACATGATTAGTCATCAGTCACTGGAAAAGAGTCAAGATAATAACCACTGACATCTGTGAAACACAACCTAAAAGAACTGACTTCCTGACAAGAGAAAAACAAAAGAAATCAGTGACCTAAATAATTCAATTTTAATTTATAAAAACTCAATTTACACACAACTGCTAAGGAAATTTCCATAGTGCAAACAAATGGTAGAGTTAATCTCGAAGGCCACAGTGTCCTTCAAAATTCACATGTCACTGAAAAATGGAATCACATGACAGTTTCTACAACAATCAAAACAGTTTGTTTGTTTTTTAACCTAGCACAATAGCAGACAGGATCACCTTTGGGATCATCACAGCTAAACAGGAAGGATACTAAGCATCTCATCTATGATACACAGTCCAAAAAATGACTTTCCTCATTCTGTGCAAAAGGAAGATGTTTACAAAACACAAACATAGTTGATAAGTAGCCAATTAACCGATGAAAGAATGCTAAAAACTAGTAATCAGAGACATGCAAATTAAGGTGATAAACTTTTAAAATTTGTCAGATTGGGGAAAATTAACAAGAATGATCTTGTCCCACGTTGGCTGAGATGCAAGGAAACAGGCTCATGTGCTAACTGGGAATGGAAACTGGCACTGTCCTTGTGGAGGGCAACGTGGCAGAAACCCTACAATTTAATGTGCATACGCCCTCTTAGTAGTCCATCCACGGCAATACTCCCACTTGGCACATGGGTGAATTCGATTATGCTATATGTTCTGACATGAAAAAATGGCCATAATATACTATTTAATGAAAAAGGAAACTCATACAATATAATCCCATTATAATTTTTTAAAAGTCCAAAGCCATTATGGGCAGCATTGTAAAGGAACAAAGACTGGAAGGATACAAATAAACCTTAATAGCAGTAACTCTGGGAGTGGAACTGGGAAAGGGGGACTGATAATTTCACTACTTAAAAATACACATCTATGCCCTGGCTGGTTTGGCTCAGCAGTTAGAGAGTCAGCCTGCGGACCAATGAGTCAAGGGTTCAATTCCGGTCAAGGGCATGTACATGTACCTCAGTTGCGGTTCTTCCTGGGCCCTGGGAAGTGTGTATATATGTATATATATATATATATATATATATATGTGTATATATATATATATATATACACATACACACACACACACACACACACACATATATACTGACAATAGCAAACTGGGCAAAGAATAGAGTCATTCATAGTAAAGTAAGTATATATAAAGACAGCTGTTAAACTATGTTCAATTTCACTCGTAAGATAAACATAAATCAAAACTACAATGAATAAAATAAATGCTCTGTTGCTTGCCAAAAAAAAAACCCCATCTAAAACAACAACAAAAAATCCAACCAGCCCTGGCCGGTTTGGCTCAGCGGTTAGAGCGTCCGCCTGCGGTCCGGGGAGACCCGGGTTCGGTTCCCGCTAAGGGCATGTACCTCGGTTGCAGTTTGTCCCCGGCCCTGGTTGGTCGTGCGGGTGGCGGCCACTCGATGTGTCCCTTTCACATCGATGTTTCCCTCTCTCTCTCTTCCTCTCTCTCCCTCCCACACTGTCTGTACAAAAAATGGAAAAATGTCCTCGGATGAGGATTAAAAAAAAAAAAAATCCAACCAACTAAACTAAAATACAATTTTTCATCTATTAGACTTGCAGAAAACCAAACATTTGATGTTGGTAAAGCTGTAGGGAAAAAAAGATACTCATACATTGTGTAAGAATATAAATTAATAAAAGTCTAAGGAGGGCAATTCGACAATATTTATCATAAATATAAATTCATATATTCTTTGGCCCAGCAATTCCTTTCCTATCATACAGCTAACTCACATGCATGCATGATAACCATAAACGGTTACTTATTGCAGCCCTATATGTAGTAGATTTTAAATAACCTGAATGTCCAACAGGAAGGGGGATTTCGGCAGCAGAATGATACATTCCAACAATGGAATGCTACATGGATATTAAAAAAAGAAAGCTCTTCATGGATTGATATGAGAAGATTTCCAAAATACACTGCTAAATGAGAAAAACAAGGTAGGCTATCATATGTATAAAAAAGGAGAATCTCACCACATAAAAAATGGTAATTATTGAGGTGATGGAGGTGTTGGCTAACATTATCATGCTGCGATATATAAATATATCAACACACTATATACCTTAAACTTACACAATGTTATATGTCAACTATATCACAATAAAGCTGGGGGGAGAAAAAAGAAGGTGATAAAATAGTGATTACCCCAGGTGAGGAAAGAGGTAGGAACCCAGTGGAAGGGAGATGGGGTGGAGGGAGATACTGCATATCTTCTTTTTTAAAAAGTATTTTTATTGATTTTTAGAGAGAGAGGAAAGAAGAGAGAAAGAGAAACATCAGTGTGAGAGCAGAACATCAATTGGCTCCTCCTCCTGCACACCCCCTGCTAGGGATCGAGCCTGAACCCTGGGCATGTGCCCTGACGGGGAATGGAACCTGCACCTTTCGGTGCTCTACACCCAACCAACTGAGCCACCCCGGCTAGGGCTGTGTATCTTCTTACTCTTTTTAATGTTAGAACACACACACACACACACACACACACACACACACACACACGTTATCTTGCCTCCATCAATCTTCTTACAATGTCATGAAAAGTAAAATTCTTATGTGCAAGCTCTTACTTGTCTAGTTTTTCTTCTGCATGGATTTTCAGAGCCTGATATCGTTGTTCCTCTTGTTTAACTCTGGCTAAGTAGTCCTGAGCACATTTTTTCAAGGCTTCTTCATTCTATTCCAAAATTACAATTTAAAAATAAAAGAAACAAGTCATTTTGTTTTTCTTCTACTAGTGTATCAAAGTTCCCTTTCTTTTTTTTAAAAAAATGAGAAAATCCAATTAATTCCAATGCCTTTAATTATACTCTATAGTAATTTGAAACAGACACAAGTAAATCTACTGAAAAAATTTTAGATAATTTCTTCATGTATTAATTTTCAAATCATACAGCAAGGTTCAGTTACACTAGTACACATGCTTTAGGAAGGCAGTTATCCAAACCTGAAAGGCAATCTGATTCCCATAGATAAATTGCCAGTCTCATTTTTACTTTAATATGGAAAAAAGAATGTTCACTTCTATAAATGTTTCTCATTCATGGTGTGCAACTAAATTAAATCAATATGCCCACTTCCACCAAAATTTGAAACATTATATTACTTTTCTCTAGAATATGCAGCCTGAATTTTTCAGGGCTATATCTAGAATCCCTTTTACTTTTACTAATATTAAATGGGTGAATTATAAAAATGAACATTTCTAGAATTTTCCTGAAGTCCGAGGGTTCCACAGTTCTTATACCCATGCCACACTCTGGTTATGTCTGGGGTTTACTGGCCTGACCCAGGAGAGAAATGACCAACACATGGCACCCACTGGGCAAGATGCCTAAACAACCACTGAAAGAAAAGGGGTGAAGGGGGAACTCTCCGGCTTCACTGGAATAGAAGACACAGGCCAACAGGGGCCCCAAAGTCCCTATTTAAAAGGCTACCACACTCCTCTGGCATATACATCTGAAGACCCACCACCAATAAAATACACTAGCAAGGAGATTCCAGAAGGAAGAGACAGGCTACCTTCTTGAACCCTTCCAGAACACCTTTCAGGTTCTCATATCTCCTGAAGAGATCAGAAAGGGACCTTTCCACAGAATTAAGGTCAGCCAGGGCCTGCTCCTTCTCCAAGGTCAGTTGCTGAAAGCTTTTCTGAGAAGTCATACTTGTCCTTTGTTCATCTTCTGTGAATCACAATCAAAAGCAATGGCATATTCAATCAACAAACAGTTAGCAGCTGCCTTCCTTGAGCTAATAAGCAGTGGTGGAACCAGCAGTGGACATTACAAAGTTCCCACTCTCGAGGACTTATTTTCTAGTGGGAGAGAGATGTGCTGACAAGTGATGGGGGGAAACAAAGCAGGGCCAGAGGGGTGGGGTTCCTTTCTTATAGAGAATGGCCTCACTCAGGAGAGATTTGGACAGAGACCCCAAAGAACTGAGGGCAGGAGCTCCCCGGGAGAAGAATATTCCATGCACAGGAGGGAAAGCATTAGGTGATGTGAACAGCAGAAAATATTTCGGTGCTTAAGTGCAGAAAGACCTGACTTTGATTTAGGGAGTTGGCCCTTACAATACTGGTGAGAAGAGGTTCTAAATTTGGTGCAGGAGGATCAACCACCGTCATTTTGAAAAGGCACCCATGTGACTGATACAGGGAAGGTACAACTGGCAGTGGAGTAAAGACACCGCACCACCCAGGAGTACAAACAATGTGCCAATATGGGTACTGGATTAAGGGCTTTTCACAGAATCCAAGTGTTTGCCATCCTCTAATGAACCCAATTACAGCTGATCCCAATTACTCATGGATTCTGTATTTGTGAATTTGCCTACTTACTAAAATTTATTTGTAACCCCCAAATCAGCACTTCTGATGCATTCCTGGTCATTCACGGACATGCACAGAACAGCAAAAAAATTTGAGTCACCTGATGTGCACAATCTCAGCTGAGGTCGGACAAGGTGATGCCTTCTCACTTCATACTGTAAATAAGTGTCCTTTCCACAGTCTATTTACTGCCACTGGTGTTTTTTTTAATTTTTGTGGTTTCTGTTGGTACTTCTGTTATTTAAAATGGCCCCAAGTGTAGTGCTAAAGTGCTGTCTAGCGTTCTTAAGTGCAGGAGGGATGAGACATGCCTCAGCGGGAACATACACGTTCGATAAGCTTTGTTTACACATGAGCTACAGCACTGTTAGCCATGAGTTCAATGTTAATAAGTCAACAATATATAAAATAACATGTCTTTAAACAGAAACACACATAAGACAACATTATGTAGTCACAAAAAAGTGGTGAACGGAAGCCTGTAGGAACCTAATCCTGTACTTCAGTGTTTGTGGCAACTTTACAGAACATAACTATTGCAAATAATGAGAATCAACTATATCTAAGTGATGGACAAATTGAAGTTTATATCCTGATTTAAGAATCAACTATGGATCCTATGACTCATACCCTAGAAAAACATTTCCTTACCAATCATTTGGGCAATGGTCTTTTCATATTCAGCCACAATTTTCCTTAAAAAAAAAAAAATTATTATCAGAAGAGAATTTTTAGACAATGGAAGTTGGAGAAATGCTTCCCCAATTAAATACATTATCATACAGGTGGACAAAGGCAGATGTACAGTTGCTCATATGGAAAATAATACAGTAATTTATGGATAATAATGTATGTCATGTACTCACAACTGTAAACCTACTTTTGCCCCACCCTGAATACTGACAAATTTACATAACCCACTTATCCAATTTGGATTCTCTTTTTTTAACGTTAGTGCAAGATTTCTTAATGTTCAAAAAAGGTTTTAAGATTTTATGTTTAACAAGCTTTCATTCTAATTGTAGAAAACACCTCGCTTTTTCTTTGCCCCTATGTGCATTGACCTCAAGGCAATAGATTGTTTGCTTAGACAAATCAATCTTTTACAAAATAAGTTACAGTGGTCCCCATTATCGTGGTTCACTTTCTAGTTTGGTTACTTGCAGCCAATCACAGCTCAAAATAGTAAATGGAGAATTCCAGAAGTAAGCAATTCTTAAGGTTTAAATTCTGCACCATTCTGAGTAGTGTGATGAGCTCACACACTGTCCTGCTTGGTCCTGCCTGGTATGTGAATCACCCCTGTCCAGTGTTCCCACACTGTGTACGCTAACAGCCCGTTAGTCACTCAGCAGCCATCTCAGTGATCAGATCAACTGTCGCAGTGTCACAGTGCTCGTGTTCAGGTCACCCTTAATTTATTTAATCATGGTCCCAAAGTGCACGAGTGGTGATGCTGGCAATTCAGATGTGCCGGCGAGAAGTCGTCAAGAGCTTCCTTTAAGTGAAAAGGTGAGTCCAATACAATAGGATATTTTGAGAGAGACAAACCATATTCACATAACTTTTATTACAGTATATCGTGATAATTGTTCTATGTCAGTATAGGTTATTATTGTTAATTTCTTATTTTGTCTCATTTATAAATTAAACTTTATCTTAGGTATGATGCACAGGAAAAAGTATATGCAGGCTTTGGCACTATCTGCAGTTTTAGGCATCTACTGGAGGTCTTGCAACATATCAGCGGTGGTCGGGGAGGACTACAGTAACAACATTATGGGGCTCTTCCTAAGAGATCTGATCTGGGTTCTGGCTTTCCTGGCCTCAATACATCCATTCAGGCATCTGTCCCCTCTGATTCACTTATAAGTTTTATTTTGCTATCCTAATCCCAAAAGTATTTCAGTTAAAGGCTTTAAAGATCACCCGGTCATATTAACCTTTCTTTAACAGAAGTGCAATAATGCTGTCCTGACTGTCCAGTGATGGGTGCTCTTCCCTGTGACCCCCTCAGAAAGAAACGATGGCTCTGCTTCTCCTCACTGGTAGTGCCCATCACTCTGATCCTGCATCCAAGTTTCTAATGATGGTTCCTGTAAGCTCTCCAAGGGCAAGGACTGTCTCTTCTTCTCCACCATACCCAGCACGAAGCCTTACATCCAGTAAATGCTCAAAAATCAAATTGCTCTGGCCAGTGTGGCTCAGTAGGTTGAGTGTTTCCCCATGCACCAAAAGGTCACTGGTTTGATTCCCAGTCAGGACACATACTCAGGTTTCCGGTTCATATGAGAGGCAACTGATCGATGTTTTCCTCTTTCCCTCTCCCTTCCTGTCTAAAAAAAAATCAATAAAAACATATTTCAAAAACGTCTAAGCCCTGGGCAGCATAGCTCAGTTGGCTGGGCACTGCCCCATGCACCAGGAGGTTGCCAGTTAGATTCTCAGTCAGGGCACATGCCCTGGTTGTGGGCTTGATCCCAGGTAAAGGGTGTGCAAGAGGCAGTGATTAATGTTGTACTCTCTCATCAATGTTTCTTTCTCCCTCTCCCTCCCCCTCTCTCTGAAAACAAATAAACAAAAAACCAATAAACTACAGTGATACCTCGGTTCTCGAACATAATTCGTTCCAGGAGGACGGTCGAGAACCAAATTGTTCGAGAACCGAAGCAATGAAACCCAATAGGAAATAATGGAAACTGGATTAATTCGTTCCAAGCCCCAGAAAATGCCTATTTACTGGCCTAATTTGTATATAATATGTAGAAAAACATAAGTCTCAACAAGAAATAAAAGTGTACAGTATGTCTAAGGGTTCAATTCAGTGTAAAGCGTGACTCTCTCCACAAAGCGTGACTCTCTCTCTGCACTCACACTGATGACGCAGCAAGGCGCGCTGGGCCGAATGAACGCCATTCGGCTCAACTCGGCTCATCTCGGAAGTTCGAGTTCCAAATATTTGTTCGGATTCCAAGACAAAAGTTTCTCGAATCTCCTGGTCGAATACTGATTTGGTCGAAATCCGAGGCGTTCGAGAACCGAGGTATTCTTAAGAAACAAAATAGCCCTGGCCGGTTTGGCTCAGCAGTTGGAGCATCGGCCCACGGACCAGAGAGACCTGGGTTCGGTTCCACCAAGGGCACATTCCTCAGTTGCAGTTTGTCCCTGGCCCCGGTTGGGGTCATGTGGATGGCGACCAATCAATGTGTCTCTCTCACATGGATGTTTCTCTCTCTCTCTTCCCACCTCTCTCCCTCCTGCTCTATCTGACAATAAATGCAAAAAAAAAAAAAGTCCTCAGGTGAGGATAAAAAATAAACAAAAAAAACACAAAACAAATAATACAAAAGACACAAATTAGCACGGACATAGTTAAAATGTTTCCTAATCTTTCAAGTTCTGAATGTATAAATTATTTGTGCTTTTTTCCCCTCTTCTCTGATGCCATCTTTAGTTATTACATAGCTCCTAACTCTTGCTAGAAAATGAGCAGCAAAAATAAAAAGATTTCAATTTAAAAATGTCAATCAATTCTGTTTCCTGTTAGCATGCTTTTTAGAATGTACTTAGTGGTTATGAGATTTGAAGCTACCATGTATAGTTTTTTAAGTATTATAAATTATAATGCCTCCATAATTGAATGTCAGGAAATCTTATTATTCTGTGTTTCAAATGGATATTTTTGTACAACTTCATCATTTCAAAGGATAAAATTATGTGAGTTCTGCTTACCTGTAATGTTCTGAACACCCCAAAATAAACTACAGTATTTGAATATAATACCTAGTGAGCAATGCTAATGAAATGATATTATCAATCACAAATTAAGGTGCAAATAGCATGGCCCCCAAGTTCTCAACAGCTGGTTCTGTGGTAAGCAAATACTTTTATTACTTCATTTGTATTAAATCTAATAATGCATAAAGGTATCCAACCCCTCACCCAACCCTCCAAACTCACCTCATCTCCAAGACTTCTTGTCGGGTTTCTTCATATTTTTTCTTCCATTCATTTGCTTCAATTTCTTTAGTGATTATCTAGATTATAACAGAGAAAAGGCTTGCTTTTACCTACTCGATCTATTAGTTTGAATTTAACATTAGAGACTGAAAAACACACAACCATTCACACCTAAGGCATTCACTCTATATTAGGAATAGAAAACTTCAAGATCTATATAATGCTCATAAGCATTTGGAAAAACAGATTCTTAGCCACATAGGATGCTGGACACACAATCACCAGAGTAAAGGTGAGTAGAACATCTCCTTGGAAAATTCCAGTTGATAAGTAAGATCTCTGTAAATGTGACCTCAGGCCAGGGTCTGGCTCTCAGATCTGGAGGCCTAGCACACTGACCGGGACAGGACACCAAGAGCACAGCACCCGTCTGACAGAGACTCACCTTAACCAAAGGAGACACCAGTGCAACAATCTTAGTTAGGAGGAGAACGAAACTGCCACAAAGTCAGAGCATTAGAAGTTGCCATGACCGGCATATTCTCTTTCTGTAGAGATTTTTGATGGCTTGATTAAAGAACAGTCAGAAGGAGGCAGTCAGAAGTTCCATACCTCCAGCCAGTGTATCCATCTCACTATGAGCAGGATCTTGTTAGTCAGTGCAGGACCCACAGCCCTGTTTGGGATGCCCACGCTGAATGGAAAGAAATTCTCTAAATTCATTGCCTGAAACTCCATTTGCCCTGCACTGGGCTTGGATAGGCAGCTGTTTGTTCTCCTTTTATTTTACTTCTCTGTGCTTCTTCTCTTTCTAATGGGCATATTTTTACTTTGGTATCTTTATTCAGAATCTCAAGATCCTAGAAGCCAGTGTGTCTGCTTCAGTGACTAAACACATCTTTGCTTTGATCCATTGTTTAAATCTCAAGAGAAAGGTAAAGTCATTTTTCTCATTTACAAGATCTGGGGAGACCTCACCACTGCTCCCAAATTTTGACAATAGGATTAGCTAACATCCCATCCCCCATCAGAAACCTAATGCTATTTTTTTTTCCTTTACTGATTTTAGAGAGAGAGGAAGGGAGAGGGAGGGAGCGAGAGAGAGAAACATTGATGAGAGAGAACATTGGGCTGTCATCTGCATGCCCCCACTGACGATTTGGCCCACAACCTGGGCATGTGCCCTGACTGGGAACAGCGACCTCTTGGTGCATGGATCAACACTCAACCACTGAGCCATACCAGTCAGGCCCTAATGCTATTTTTTAAAGCTTTAAATGCTTTAAAAGTATCACAGGTACTTAATTAACCCCATCATACTATAAAAACAAAATTGCTCCACCTTCTTTAGGAAAAAGTGAAGTCACCAAATAAAACACAAACCAAACACATAAAATATAGCACAGAAATATAACAGAAGACCCAAGGTGGTAACTGATTACTAGTATATAACAGTGTCTTTCATATTTTTCAGATCACCCAAGAAAGGCCTAGCAGTGATCTATTTTAAACAGAGACCGTTCAAGAAACACCATAAAGGTATTTGAGAGTTGAATTAAAGAGTGGATGGCCCTGGTCTGCGTGCTCAGTGGTTAGAGCACCAGCCCAAGAACTGAAAGGTCGATAATTCAATTCTCAGCCAAGGGGGCACATACCTGGGATGCAGGTTCAATCCCCAGGGCCGTGTGTGGGAAAACACCTCACAGCAATGTTTCTTTCTCTCTCTTTCTCTCTCCTCTTCCCTCCTTCCCTTCCACCCTCTCTAAAAATCAATGGAAAAATATCTTTGGGTGAGGATTAACAACAACAACAACAAAAACAGTAGATGAAGGTAGGAAACAATTGTATATTACTGCAAATCTAGAATTTAAGGGCTTTTTATGTATAGGCATACATACTCGTATAAAATGAAGGCACTGACTTAGATATATATGCGGATAAAGTTGGCAGAATTTGATACTTAACATTTCAAGGCAAAAAGATAAAGAAGAGGACAGAATTCTTCAGGATATCTCAGAGCGTCAGCTTTTCTCCCTGCACACCACAATGGCAGGACCCCAGCACCAGTGTGGCGTTTTACAGGGAGCCCTTTATATGAGCTAAACAAGCTGCAGGAAACACGAACTCCCAACCGGGGATAACTCAGACCAACAGAGATGGAATCTGTCTGCTGCACATGGCTTTACAAAGAAACAGAGCGATAAGTGGGTGGAACAGGAAAGCCTTTACCTCTTCTCTTATCAGGGTGAGCACGGCTGTCTTATCTGATTCACTGAGGCAGATGCCATCCAGGGCGCTCTCACCTCCACAGGCCACGGATACGGGGGCCGTCTCCATAGGGGACTCCGACAGTCCCTGAGGGGGGAAGGGGTTACATATACTACGTTTACTCTTCAGCTTCCTAATCCCAAATACCTTCCAATAATTTCCTCATTACTACATTGACCACAATCTTTAAAAGCATATTTAAAGTAAAAAACAAACAAAACGAAAACCAAAAAGCACAAACAGGATTTTAAAAAGTCAGTTACAGTGCTAGGTAAAGGAACATTTTTTTCTAATGATTATCAGGGGTGTCTTAGCTTGTTTAACAGACAGCCTAGAGAAGTTTTCTTCTTATCCAAAAAAAGAAAGCATAATTATCGTACTGGTCAGTCACCAAAAAATTACATGCAAAAAAGAGAAAACTATGCCTGGTTTATGGCTTATCTTTTAAGAGATTTCTGGGGATGATATATTCCATTTAAATAAAAATTTTGAAGTCAAATTTTTTTTAACATTTTGATGTTTTGTGTGTCTCTGTAGTTACTTCGGATGGAAATATTTCTAAAATAATCACTAACTTTCAGGCCTAAGCAAGCAGAAACGGCGAATGTGTCTGGCCTGCCCCAGCCCGGACCCTTTAGGACCGCCCGCCGGACCTCCCAGTGCTCCGCAGCGGTGGGGCAGCCCAGCGGCGCTGGCGGTGTGCACCGGTCTTGTTCCATGTGGGAGTCAACACCTGGGCCTGCACCCCCATTCCTGGTTCCCCCTGCTAAAAGTTTCCAGTCCCCCCGGCAGCACTTCGTCCTCTGATGCACCAGCTTGCTTTGGTCATAAATAGGTTCCAGAGAGCCACATTTAGTTAGTATTTTACTTTTCACAAGAATATAGATTCTGTACTATTTTCCTTCCTCAAAGGCATTTTTTGGGCTATTTCCCCCTTACCTATACAAGTAAACTTTTTGTACAAATGGGGAAAAAGCTCACCAAAGGACATCCAAAATGCCAGCCAAAGTGACTTAAGAATAATCTTAAATGTCAGTATAACTAATCAATTAATTATTGATCATACTCAATCAGTTCTCTGGTATCTTGTTTGAACCAAGACTGAACATAAAAGTCCAAGATTCACCTACATTAGTGGTTTTTCAACTTGTCAGGGTCATTACAGGCGCATCTTCTCTAAAAAGTACTCAAAAACACACAATTTTGCAGACAGCGTCACAAACCTCATCCAATATAGAAACTCTGGGCTTAGGCCACAGAAAAGGGAAATGCAAAGTCACAAGCTGGCAGTGCCCATTTCCAGCAGCATTTGGGGGAGGGCAGCCCACCATGCCAACAGAAGTCCAAGGTGCCCTCAGAAACACTTGGGATAGATCTATAACTAGAGCCAAGTCATTTGTGGTGGGAAGCCTGGAACATGGCCCCAGTGACCCCCACCTCCTGGTCCTAATCCTCTCTTGCAACCTCTTCCCCTTGACAGCAGTTGGACCTAAGGGCTCACTTCTAAAGAACAGATGGCAAAAGTCACGGGACATCACTTCTGAGATTAGTTAACAAAAAGACTCCAGCTTTCATGTCGTGAGAAGCTCCATGAAGAGGTCCGTATGGCAAGGAACTGATGACCCTGCCAACAGCTAGCGAGGACTTGAAATGTGCCAGTAACCAATGAGAAAGCCTGGAGGTGACTGCAGCCCTGGTCAATTCTTGGCTGTAGCCTATGAAATCCTGAGTAAGAAGCACCCTGAAAAGCGGTCCCAGGATTCCTTTTCCAGAAATGAGGGCATAATACAAGCTTGTTGTGGCACACCCCTGGACCTCTGGCCATCCCATGAACTTCCTGTGCCATGGTTATCATCATAATCTTGCTGCCTATGTAACTTGCCTACAGGGAGATAATGCACCAAGTTAGGCAAACATATTTGGTACACCTTGTTGTTACATTTCTGATTCTAAATCAATACATTTTAAAGTCTATCTTTCGTGAGTGTTTATTATTCTAAGCCAGAATCCCCAACTTGATTCAACTCTAGGAACTAACCTCCCCGTGGCTCCTATGACCCTTGTGTTATCAAGAATTTGGTAAATAAGCCAAAAATTTTCTTAGTAAGGAAAATATCAACATCTATTCTGGAATTCAGCATCTCATTCCTTTGTTGAGAGGATAAACAAATTCAGCCTGCCTGCTGGCTTAACAACTTACTGTTAACAAACGTTGTATCTGGAGGAGTAGAATGCTGAGTTGGAGGTATAAGATCAGACCTCGAATGATGGCAGATACTTAGATGAGTGGGCTCTGCAGCCTGCAGTTCTCCCCTGGGTCCCTCCCCTCTGCCTGGCCACATGCCAGGAGCCTCATGGCTCAAAATGCAAGGGCTCTTATGAGATAAGGGTAGGAATTACTGCCATAGCTTATTTCAGCCCCCTAGGATTTAACTTTTTACATTTCTTGGTCCTTTATATCATTTATCAAAAGTGTAGAAAGCCTATAGAATGTACCCTCACAAATCACTGGCCTGACAATTCTCTTCCTGAGCTAAGCAATTTTACATTATTTAATAAAGATGTGAAATTAATCAATCATGTCCTTCCAAAAGGGTCCTGTTTCATGTCCCCTAATTTTCTCCCTGTCCCACAAAGCATTCACAATGGAGAATCAACAAAGACCTCTCTACAGATGATGGGACTCCATGGAGTCCTGGTTGCAAGTTTACAGTGAGCACAGATGCCACAAAGTAATTCTCCTTGCTCAAGTCCTGGCAGCGGGAGAATTAGCATCACTAATCTGTCACAGCATTTTTTTTATTTATTTATTTATTTATTTATTTATTTATTTATTTATTTATTTATTTTTATCCTCACCCGAGGACATTTTTCCATTTTTTATTCAGATAGAGCGGGAGGGAGAAAGAGGAAGAGAGAGAGAGAGAGAGAGAGAAAAACATCGATGTGAAAGGGACACATCGAGTGGCTGCCACCCGCACGACCCAACCAGGGCTGGGGACAAACTGCAACCAAAGTACGTGCCCTTAGCGGGAACTGAACCCGGGTGTCTCTGGACCACAGGCCGACACTCTAACCGCTGAGCCAAACCGGCCAGGGCTGTCCCAGCATTTTAAATGTGCTCACCCCATCACCTGTTCCTTAACTCACCAGAGCAGGGCCACCCCACCACTTCTCTAACAGAGACATGCTTGGAAAAGCCAAATAGACTCAACTTTTAATGAGTTTAAGACTTCCTTAAAAAATAGATTCCTAAGTGAAAAATGCTGCTGACCAATAGCGGAGAAGCAAGATGAGAGACATAACGCCTACACTCACCTCTACTCTGACCTTAGTTATTCTGTCCTGGCCACCACCCATGCTAGGCAAGAGACTGCAAAAGGAATGTGCTCCAAAGCGACCCAGAGAGGCTTTAAAAAGTAAATGCTACATTAAACAGATTTATTTTTTTCAATCCTCACCGGAGGATATTTTTTTCCCATTTATCTTCAGATAGAGTGAGGGGTGGGGGGTGGGGGGAGAGAGAGAGAGAGAGAGAGAGAGAAAGAGAGAGAGAAACATTGATGTGAGAGAGACACATCAACTGGTTGCCTCCCACATGACCCGACCAGGGCCAGGAACGAACTGAATGAGGTACATGCCCTTGACTGGAATCGAACCTGCAACTCTTTGGTCTGTAGGCTGATGCTCTAACTGCTGAGCCAAACCGGCCAGGGCTAAACAGATTTCTTTATTCAGTGTTTTGGATACGTAATTTCCTTATGTAACACTTATTCAACATTCTAAGGAAACAGAAATTAATTTATTTCAGGAAGTTCAACTGGGGTTACTTTTATTTATTTTTAAATATGTTTTTATAGAGTTCAGAGAGAGGAAGGGAGAGGGAGAGAGATATAACAACATCCATGACAGAGAAACATCACTCAATTGCCTCCTACACACCCCCAACCAGGGATCAAGCCCGCAGTCTGGGCATATGCCCCACTTGGGAATCCAACTGGCAAACTTTCAGTGTACTGGACAACGCTCAACCCACTGAGCCACACCGGTCGAGCAGGGGTTACTTTGAAAAGATCACAAGATACAATATGCTCTTCACCACCTGGCTCTAACAAGTGTTCTCCGTTCTTCTTCCTCACTCTTTCCAACCCTTTTCCTGTCAACATCACACCTCCTATAGTAGCCTCACATTTTACAGCTTCGATCTCTCATGCTATCATTTCCATTTATCCTCACAACTACTCTGACAAGGTGCCGCTAAGAATATGGGTAAGTTGGGAATCCAGAGGTTTAACCTGCTTGTTTCAAGAATGGGGTCAACCATCTGAATGTGTAGCCACACAGACCACTACTTAGTCCACTCAATACATCCTTCTTCAATCATCCTTTCACTATTTTTACACTGAAAATATTCTAAAGTGTTCCCATCGCATTTGGAAACTTCCAAAAGAACTGGTTTTCCCAAGTGCACAACTAGGCTGTCCGGCGTGCAGAGTGGTCTCATCCTCTTGGAGGCGAGGAAGGAAGGAGCCCTCTTTCTCACAGATGAGGAAATCCTGAGTATAAGCCTGTGAGTGGCAGCACTTGGATTAGATGTCTCACCTCCCAGAATGCTGAAGATCAAATGAGTTTCTAAGCAAAAGTGATTTTGTCCAGAAACAAATGCCACTAATGTGAGGCCCTTGTGAGGGGACAATGCTGACAAGACCCGGTGTGCTCTGTGGCCCTGTGCATGTCTTCCTTTAGCTCGGGCTTCCACAGTCCTCCATCGATCCACCTTCACATTTGCCCCCTCTACCTCCTCTAGGGAAATACCAGGGTCACCGCCCAACAGAGTCCTGAAAACAAGCCAATTGGGAAGACATTATACAAAACAACTGACCAGTCCTCTTCCAAGCGTCAAGGTCAGAAAAGAGAAAGCAAGATTGAGGAAATGTGACAGATTAAAGGAGACCAAGGACATGAGAACTAAATGCAATGTAGGACCCTGCACCAAAGAGAGACCTTACTGGGACAATGGATAAAATCTGAATACAGTTTATGGATTAGACCATACTGTGTCAGTGCTAGTTGATTTTGATAACTGTATGTAAATTGTGAACATCTGAATATGGGTTAAAGAGTTTTTCTTTGTACTATTTTTTTTTTTTTAATTTCTTTTTCTTTATTGATTTTAGAGAGAGAGGAAGGGAGAAGGAGAAATAGAAACATCAACTGGCCACCTCCTGCATGCCCCCCACTGGGGATCTGGCCCTCAATCTGGGCATATGCCCTGACTGGGAATCAAACTGGCAACCTCTTGGTGCATGGGTCGATGCTCAACCATGGAACCACACCAGCCAGGAGATTCTTTGTACTATTTTTATAAGTCTGAAAGTTTTTTCAAATTTTTGTTTTTCATTAGCTCAGATTCAGCCCTCCTAAGATCTGCCCTGCAGCTGGTCAGCCCTAGGTCCCTTAGCCCCAGGAACACATAATACTATAATCTTCACCATAGGTATGGTTGGTGTCCATTTTGTACCTACTGCCAGAGCTGTTCAAAAGAAATATAATGCAAGCCACTCGCAATTCAAAAATTCTCAATAGCCACATTTACAAAGTAAAAAGAAACAGGCAAGATTAATGTTAATAATATAGTTTAGTTAACCTAATATATCCAAAATATTATCATTTCAATATGTAATCAATATAAAGTTAGAGACATTTTATTTCCCTTCTTTTTATACAAGTCATCAAAAACTGGTTGTATTTTACGCTTATAGGACATTTCAGTTCAGACTAGCTACAGTTCAAGTGCTCAGCACATGCACTAGGGGGTGCTGTCTAGGAAATCTTGGGATAGACTATGAGCCCCTCAAGCAAAGAATCTGTGTTTTATTTGTATTTCACCCCTATCACCAAACACTGACCAGAATGTATTTAAGAATTTAACATGGGCTTCAAAACAAATGCTAACCCCCCCACACCCAAGTTTAGGAACTTACAGGCACGGCAGATCCATCTTTTTCCATCTTCTGGCTCGTCTCTTTTTCTAAGCCTAAAACACAGAGAGTAATTTTTGTAGTTATCCCAAGAAGTCAGTTCCTTTCCTTCCTAGTGAAAGACACTTGGAAACTCCAGCGCAGGCCCAGAATGACATCTATGAACACACAAATGGCACTTCAAGGTTTTCAAAGGAAAATCTTCAGGGCTTTCTGTTGACCACTATGTTGTCAGTGTTAAAAATCCAAACTAAAGAAAGAGGGGTGCGGAGTTAATCGGCCATAAAGGAATGCACAATCTTCAGGTGGAAAGAACAGTAAAGGCTGCCCCCTTGTGTCCATGTTCTAACCATGGGATTATTTCCGGAAAAGGAAAACATAACACCAACTGCTATCTTATTACCAAGTCTTAAACTCCAGCTCAAAAGGGTACCCTCAATCTAATTAGCATAGCAGTAGCAGATAAAACAATAAGCTTCAAATTGCAATGCCCACAAAACTAAATTCATTTCTTACCTCCCATTCTACCAATAGAGGCAACATTTAAAAAAACTCAAAACTACACTTTTTCTAATTAAAGGAATATGCTCTCACTGAAGACAATTTTTAAAATTGATTTATAGAGACAGAGGAAGGGAGAAGGAGAGAGAGAGAGAAACACCGATGTGAGAACAAAACATCGATCAGTTGCCTCTTGCACACTGCCCACCGAGGATCGAGCCTGCAACCCAGGCATGTGCCCCAACTGGAACGGAACCCGCAACTCTTCAGTCCACAGGACGATGCCCAACCGACTGAGCTACACTGGCCAGGGTTAAAGATAATTTGAAAAAGCACACAAAATTTTAAAAACTATAATCTCCCACAAAGCAATAATGAATTACTATTTTAGCATACTGTCTATAATAAATTATTTTTAAAACACAAATGTGACTATCACTACTCTGCTTAAAAACTTTCAATGGTTCCCCTACACCTATAGGATCAAGCCCAAATTCCTCACTACCACTTTGTTCTCCCACTTACCCTGCACTCAGAGAGCCACTGGGCATCTTACTCTCACGGCAAGTTCTTTCCCATCCCTCAGAAAGATTCCCATTCTATGGAGCACATCTATGTCTGTATCTATTGAGACCTAGCTCCAAGGTGACTCCCCAGTAAACGTTCTCTGACTCACCTGACACAACCAGTACACCTGTCCACCTCCACACCTCCACCTGCATGACCACAGCCTCTGCTTGCTCCCTTGACATGGCTAATCAGTTCCACACAGTGACACACGACCTGTCCACTATGAGGACAGCACTGTATCTAACAGAACCCCAGCTCTACAAATTTCAGTTGAAGGAATTTCCTCCAAGTGAGGAAGAATATAATTCAACAAATATCTACTACGCACCTGCACCTGAGGAAATTCAAAGATGAATCACTCCTAGTCCTTAACCTTGAGAAGTTTATCAAAGATGGCCTTCTATAATTCATACACAAAACCAGAATGGTAAAAAGAAATGCGTTGGGAGCGTAAAGTGCGGTGGGAGCCAAGTGACATTTTTTAATTAGACCCAAAAGGATGGGCAGAATTTTTATAGGCAATGGCAAAGAAAGATATTTCAAATAAAAAAAGTGTCACCTGCACAACTGGGTAAAGTGGTATAGAGAGAAATGGCAAATGAAGTCTTGGGAAAGAAGTCAGAGCAGAAAGAGGCCTGGGAAGAAATCTGGAATAGTACCTGGCACATTTGTTTTATAGATGAAAAACGGAGACCTGGGAGCAGGGAGGCAGCTAGGGGAATAAACTCTCACAAAGTCCTGATTTCTATCCGCTTTCCTGGCTTGATGATAGAACATGATTTCTTAAATTCTGGGTACAAAAACCCCAAATTAAATTATGTTGCTGAAGATCTGAGGTTTTAATAATGTTTAATGTAGTCAGGAACATGTTTCACAAGTCAAGTTTAGGGCTATAGATATAACTTGGGACCCAAAAGTAGGGCCTCAGTTCTAGAATGTTCTAAGGGTCCAATAGCAAGAAGCTTCAGTACAGGTTAGTCTACCTAGGTTCTTATTTGTACATTAAGGATTTTATAGGGCACTGGTGAATTTCAGTCTACCATCCTGTGAGCAGGAAAATGTATAATAGTCTGGTGTAATGAAAACAATTCCTTCACACTTTAGCATTGTGGTTAAAAACCGTGGAACCAGACTGCTGAGGTCTGAATCCTAGTCCTACCATTTACTAGCCATTTACAAGTGACCTTGGCTGAGTTACTTAACCTCTGTGTCTCACTTTCCTTCTCTGAAAAATAGTGGGAAAAAATAATACCTAACAAGGAGTACTGAGTCAATACATGTAAAGCACTTAGAACGATGCCTGCACATGGTAAGGAACGACACATTAGTTGTTATTTCTGTAAGCTGAACAATAATCACATCATGGTTACAGGCCACTTTACTTTGAGCTGTGGCCACATTAAAATAAATTATAAAAAATTTCAAGCAGTCCCACACATTAGTGTCTCCTGGACATTCTGCCACTCTTATCCATATGTCCCTGGTATTTGATAGGACATACTTTTTTATGTGTCTCTTTTCTAGGGAAAGAAGCCAAGCATAGGTCAGCATCCTAAATTCATCCATCAGGTGACCAAATTTTCTAATCTCTAAGGCATCTCCAGCTTTGGGCTTTCAGGCATTTCTATGCTTACGTACATTAGAAAGATGAAGATATGCTTCCATACCTGCTTCTGAGGATGAAAACGCATGATTTATGGTAGACACAGGAACATTGGAACATTCAAAGTACTCCAGGTCTTCCTCTGGCTCACCTTTCACCTCGGCCCCGGCGGATTTCTGACCAGATGAAGTGGATGCCAATTTCTCCTCATCAGTAGCATGGCCATCCCTATTAGAAATGTCTGAAATCTGGGAGATCACTGCTCCTTCATCCTGGGAAATGCAACAGAAAAGATGCCACCATTAAGAGGATAAATGGTAGAGAAAGGGACTTCAGAGCAGCCACTGTTCCATATAGATATTGGATCAGAGTTAACCACAGATCTGAGTACAAATCAAGGAAGAAGCTGGAGTCCCTCAATCACAAAATGCTGTATTTTCTAGAATCCAGCTTTTGTGATTCAAATCTGAGGTTTGACTAATTAACCTTTTTTAGCCTAAATTTATTAGCAAGACGTTTAAGTGGTCCAAAGCAATGGTTTTCAAATATTTTGCTCACATACCTCCTAAATTGGAAAAAAAAAAAAATCTATGTACCCCATTGTATTTTCAGGTACCATCTAAAAACTTTTCAGCATAAGTTTAAATAACTGCAAAGGATGTAATATCTGGTATAGTTTATATACTAACCTTGCTTAATTCAATGTAGTTATTCTAATGATTTGATATTCTACAATCTATTTAACATCAGACACAAACAATCTCTTCGATAGTTAGAAATTTACATCATTCCTTTTCCTGTCTGAATTTGTACTTCCAGTCTACTTCCATCAACTCATGTTCTCCTATTTTGTTGAAAGCGATGAGTTGGAAAACAATCTGACTTTAAAAAAAAACATCACCCAGTCAATGGAGTCAATCACCCCCTCAAAACCTACATCAGCATTTTAAATCTCCCCTTTGTTTGGTGCCCCAGAGATTTCCCACCCAGTGGTAATGCACCTTAGTGAGATTTAGAATGGGTAAGAGGGAACCTTAAAAAAATGGGAAAAGGGTAATTGTGAAAAGGTTCCCTAATCCTGAGGGGTCTTTTCAGATCAGTTTAGGAAGTTGGTTTTCTTAAAGTTGAGTACTCCAATACCATTAACCCCCCCACACACACACCCTAGAGTGGGAATGCAATAGCAGTTTGGGGACCACTGGCCTAAGAGACATTCTGGTGATACACAGACTTACCTGCGAACACCCATCCAAGGCAAGAGGCTGCGTTTCGTATTTCTTCACCTTGCAGCCACTCCTGGAAGAAAAAAAACAACTAGATTGGTTTGGAATCTCACTGGCAATTTCCAAGCTATGAGATGGAGCAGAGAGAGCAGAGTGTGCAGACAGAAGCCAAGGCATACAGCACCATACAAGTCATACAACTACATGTTAGAGATGAGAACAGCTTTTACATCTCTGAATCTTCTCTCAAGGAACAGGGCAAGCAAAGAACTATAGTTCAATTCATTCTCTGAAAAGACCCTTCTAGTTTTTAATTACACATCACCAAAAGTTTTTCGGAGAGCAGCCTTAGCATCTAGAGAAATTTGGTTCATCTGATCCTTACTCGGGCTTTGACATTCATTAGAAAAATTACCACACTGGACCAGATTCTTTAAAAATTCTTTATTGCACTTAAAGCCATAGAAGTCTGATAAGACAGCTCCAGATCTGTGTGCTAACAGAGTAGAACTGTGGTTAACAGAAAGTATAAAAAGAAAAATATCTGTGTAAACTGTTACCTATTAAGTAGTAAGATGGAAAGGAATGTCAACATCATGGCTGGAACTAGGGAAAACTCAAAACACATTTTTAAACTAGCACATAATTTGCGATCCAAAGACAAATTCAAAATCTTTTGTTTGAATGAACTTGAAATTTCCAATAACATCGCTCTGACAAAAAAAAATAAATAAGTTGCAACTCTTTTTTCTTGTGTGGGGAAACAAACAAAAAAGGCAAGCATGTACATCACCAAAATGTGCACACCCACTATCTGGTTTGTGACTTTCTTTCCTAATGCTTGAGTGCCACCCCTGCCACCAAACTCAAGTTGGTCCACAAAAATCCTAATCATAGTATGATGTCTCTGTTTTATCCCCTGCTCCAACCCAGCAGCCTTATCCTATCAAAAAACAATTATTTCCATTATTAAATAGCAGAGCAGCCCCTGAAACCACCGCCGGGACGATCCTGGGGCCAAGCCAGCATTGGGTATCAAAGCGCCACGTGAGGCGTGCCAAGGCAGAGCGCACAAGCTCTCGCATCTAAGGTGGGAAGGCCAATCTCCACCCCTTTAGGTACAGACAGTTGCAAGGCTAAGCTGACTCATGAAGTGGCAAATGAAATGCAAAAAAAATAATCAGAAGGTCAAATTCAGAACCAGAAGCCAACATGCTATGGAGAGATGCTCTGGGGAGGGTGAGAGAGGAACTGCCAAGAGTCCCAGGGACAAACAGAAACCACAGCAGGAGTAGGACAAACAGAAACCACAGCAGGAGTACTTACAACAGAAAACAGAGAAATTTCACTTGTTCAGTAGTCCTGATGCACCAACAAAATTAGAGACAGGAAAGAGACAGACAGATGGAGAAAAAAATCATGTAAAGCCTGGAATATTTATCTCCAGCCTGGTAGATGTAAAGTCTGCAAAGTTATTTCTATGAGATGAGATACAAATTTAAACTGTCATATTCATGAATGTTATCACTGGTGAGTGAATGATTATCAGAACCTCAACTCAAACAAGTAAGAGTGGTAGAAACATTCAGAAATGCCACACATTCAGATTTATAGATGAAAAAGTAAACATGTCTAATCATCCAGACTAAGGCAACATGTGAATAAAAATACAGTTGAAAATGTATCTGTTTATGTCTACTGTAGGTATATGTCACTAAGACACCTAAAACGATTTTACATAATTTATCTTATCTGGTCCACAAAAATCCCAATCATAGTATGATGTCTTCATTTTATAGAAGAATCTGAGACACCAATTACACACATCTTTTAAAGTCACACAAGTAACCTGATAACAGAACTTCTAACTCTCCACTAGAGTCTACCACCACATGTATATTTTCAGTCTTTTCTACCAATGAAGGGATTTGCTCAACAAAATCCCAGTTACACGGAGTTCAAACCCCCTTCTAGGAAACTAGAGTTTTGATTGTATAGAGTTAAAAAAAATCTGTCAGGTCTTTATTAGATCAAAAAATCCATTCACCAAAAACAGAATAGGAGGAAAATGCTACCAGGTGAGGGTAGTAGGACTGAAGAGAGGGTGCTTCTTGCTACTGAAAATAAGGTGTAAGAAAAATTTCCCTCCCACTGGCCCAGATTTAATCTTATGTGACATGAATGCACTGGCTATATGTCTTCAACACGTACTGAAAGGAAGGCTCCCAAATGACTTCTTATCAACCTTTCTAGGCAGAGGCACCCTATATATAGGATACCCCATATCAGGAAGCACCAAGGCAATGACCTGGCCAACACATGCCTCAACCACTGTCTAGACAATGGTAACCAACCTTTGCCACAGAAGAGCACTTCGAGGACAACAGATAAATCATATTTTTCAGCAACCATTTAACTGTTCATATATAATCAAAGAACAGATCAACAATTACTCATGACATTTTATTCCCTTAGACATTCTGAAGCTGTTGAAGAACTAATTCCTACATTGCTTAAGTTTCTGGGTCCTGATCGATACTTTCTGCTCTTTAAACCTTTCCCTTTAGTATAATTCACCATGCCATCTAGCATTTTTCTTTGTCATAGTAATGCTAAAAATTAGTTCCCTACGGTGACAACTAAAAATATGGCATTTGTTTTCATCTTCCCTTTTCATATTTTGTTCTGTCATTGGTCTCTCTTTATATCTAATTTTAGCAAAATGTCACAGAGTCAAAAAGGGGTATATTGTCATCGCTCAAGTTTTGTGATAAGGAAACCCTGTGACAAATTTAACCTGAAACTCGACATGGACTGTGGCCTGAGGTGATCATTCTGAGAACTCCAAGGATCTTGCAAAGATTTCTCGGGGTGAGGGGCACAGTGTGTGTGTGTAGGGGGGTATCACAACACATTAAAAAAGACTACTTTATCAGATTTATGTCATCGTTTAAAATATTCTTGATTCTTACTGGAAATTCACCTCCTTGCTGATGGAACCAGACACAAAGACACAAGAATTCTCACCAATTTTCAGAGGTTTGTTTCCAACAAAAATCAGTTTTCTGCTTTAAGTGAAAAACTTCTATAAGACCCGTGAGGACCAATTTCTACAAGTTCTTGATACTAGACAGGTAATCTGCAGGCTTGGAATTTTTGTTTTATCCACAGAGATCTGAAGATGGTGAGTTCTGTATGTAAAGCGCGGTTCCTGAGGGCCCGGAGAGGATTTCCGAAAACCATCAGATCTTTACCTGCCTATCTCATGCTATTTTTTTAAAACAGGAAAAAAGTACCCAAGGTGGGGGGTTAGGAGGAGAGGGATAGAAAAAGAGCTCAGCCTAATAAGCTGAGGATTCAGAAACCAAGCAGACATCTAAAAAGGAAACCTCTGGTATTTGACTCCACACAAGAGTTTGCTTCAAAATAGTGAAGAATGCAATTTAAAGTTGTAAGTTTTGTGTCTGCCCAACTGCACCTCAACTGCTGGCTGCCAAACTTTCAGAGTGTACACAGAACACAACGCCCACACCCGTCGTCACTCACGTTATTAAACGCGACTTTGCCTTCTTGGGCGATTCTAAGATTTCATTAACATGATTACCAGCAGGAGAACAAAAGTCGCCATTTGTTAAAGCTGTAGTTGGTTTAAAGGGATCCGTGGATTCATCAAAGTGGTAGAAGCCCTTAGAGGAAAGGGGAGGGGAGTTCTGCAGAGCGGACTGGCCTCCAAGGGGACTGCCGCTGGGGTCATCCCACTGACTGGGATCCAGCTTAGAAGATGCCTGGGAGAGAGGAACATCGACTGCGGCTGGGTCCAGAGGCGGTTCTGCACCTCTGGCACCTCCTGGCTTACTGGCACCATCTTTCTGTACCTTGGGAGTCAGTTTGTTACCCAGTTTCCTGCCAAGTTTCCTAGGAAGGCCTTTCCTGGACTCTACATTTTCAACATCTTCTGTGAACTCAAACTCAAGCTTCAGAGGTGAGCTCCTCGACTCCTCCAGCAGCTCAACCCCAGAATCATTGGTGTCACTACTGGGAGTACTGCTTGACGCTTCCTTAATGTCGGGGGAAGATTTCTGGATCCTGGCATCTCCTAGCAAAGGATGTGTGTTCCCATCCATTTCGTCAGGATAGGATGCCTGGGAGAGAGGCGTGCCCTCCACAGACATTTCTGTTTCTGAGAACTTGCCAATTGGTTTCTTCCTCAGAGAGATGGGTTTGGGCTTTCTTAGCTTGCTTCTGCTGGGCACTGGCTCCAGACAGGAGTTCCCACTCTTCAGGTCAGCTTCTGTGGAAGCCTCCAGTGTAACCCCCATGCTGCTTTCTGTCATAGCCGTGTCCTGGATGGCTTCTGGCAGGCTGGAGGGCAGAGCCTCACCTGAGATGGCAGTCACACAGCCATCTGCTGCTTCTGGTCCGCCAGCCGCCTCTGAGATAGCCGTGGAGTTCTTGGTTTCTATTGAAAATGGCCTCACTACTGAAATTTTGCTAATATCACGTTCGGGTTCTTCTCTGAAATCCTTGACTGAGTAAGAGCCAAGAGCCTGCTGTGAAACCTCATTTTCTGAGGGTCTGGAACAAGTCTCAGACGAACATTTCTCAACCACTTCTGCTATCAGCTGTTCATCAACTTCTTGTGAGTCTAAAACAAAACACAAAAGCCATTTATTAGAGGATTATCTTTTTGGCACTGGTAAATATTCTCTACTTGCTGAATCCACACAGACAAATAGTAGGCTCTTCCCTCTTCACTTTTCTTAGCATCTCTAAGGTTCGGCAAGGATGGCAGTGCAGCCTCAAAAGGCAGGGCCAGTACTGCACTCAAAAGTGAATTTTCCCATTCCAAACGGTGCATGTGTATTACCCAAGTTATACAACTAATAATTGAACCAAACAGAGCTACTTGGGAAAAGGCTAAATAGATATGGGTGTACTGCATGCAAAGCACTGATATGTTAAAATTCTGTAGGCTAAAGTGACTGGTCTAGAGGAAACTTGAGACGCCGACAGCTCAGGTACAGGGATCTGGCACTACCTGACAGTTTCAGGGTCTGAATTTCATGCCTCAAGCAGATTTTAATTTAGAGATGTTAAAAACAAGTACTCCCCCTTCCCCAGAATGGAATGTAAATAATTCAGCTGTTGGAAAACCCACCACAGCCAGCTCAGAATAGCGTCTCTATAAACTTAAAAACTAAAAGTACCAAATAAAAAAAACTAATTTGAAAAAGCAGATATAGAAATGGCTTAAAAAACAAACAGCCCTTATTTTACTAAGATACAAATCATAAAACAATAAATTTATTTTTTTCTTTAGAAGCACTCTTTAAGTTGGGCCAGGAATTCTCTCAAATTGCTTGTAAAAAATGAAGATTATTTTTCATTAGGGTCTTAGTAGGAGAATTGCTATAATTGGGAAGGCATAATTAAGGTATTTCTTTAAAGCACAAACTAAGGCCTGGCCAGTTTGGCTCAGCGGTTAGAGCGTCGGCCCATGGACCAGAGAGAGTCCCGGGTTCGGTTCCCGCTAAGGGCATGTACCTCGATTGCATCCCCAACCCGGTTGGGGTCATGTAGGTGGCAGCCGGTCTATGTGTCTCTCTCACATCGATGTTTCTCCCCCCACCCCCAGCTTTATTTGAAGATAAATGAAAAAATGTCCTTGGGTGAGGATACAAAAAAAGAAATTAAAGCACAAACTAAGAAAGTACTTTCCTGATTTAGAAATCTGAAATAACAATAGGGTAGCAGCAAAAACTGAATAAACTGGCTATTATCATAGCATCTCATAATTTTAAAGGAAACACAGAGATGACCTGCTAATCCTACTTCCTAATTCTAATCCAGGATCAAAAACCTGAGCATCACTGGAAAAGTTTTGGGAAGTACTCACACACCTTTTTACACGACTCCTTTATGACTGGTTGGGCAGTGGCTTCCACCTGTAGCCCACGTGGCATGGGGAAGGAAAACAAACACCCTCATTTGGATTCGGCCCGACCCTGAGCAGATAGGAAAGGAGCTCCACCAAGAAGACACCCCGCCCAGGTATTTTTGACGAGCTCAGGCCAGGTGCCGGTAAGTAAACTTGCCGGTCTTATATCTCAGCACTGGAGACCCAGCCTTGCTCTATATTCTCAGTCACCAGCAGAAAGTACTTGGTGGGGTGAGAGGGAGTAGTGAGAGAGGATTGCTCATTGACTTAAACCTGTTTTGGGAGCTCTGAGAACAACAGAACAAGAAAAAGTAATCACACAATTCAAAAAGGTATGTCTGAGTAAGCTTTTTTTCATTTTCACTCTGAATCAAGTGTCCCAGTACCAGCTGACCCCACATACCTAAGTGCTACCCTAAAACAGAGCCTAAACCTCAAGCATCACACCACAGGTAACTTTCAGTAAGAAGTAAAACACCCATTCTCAGTAGGCTCCAATTCCCAATCTTCCATCAGTGAAGAGTTTTAGCCACAGCTCTCAATCCATTTTTTAACCTGCGAACACTGTTGTATAACTAACCTACCTCTATTCATCCTTCCATTTTTATAAAAATCCTTAAAAAGCTTCCTCCAGGGCACTGAAAAGCTCTCTCCCTGGAATGAGTTTGATGAGTTTGACAAGCACAGCATTGCCTGGTGGCTTGGTAAACACAGAGAGAGATTAGATCAGTAGATGAATTCAGAGCAAACACAGAGGAAATCCAAAAATAGACCAACATTTCTACTTCTGCCATATTTGCTGCCATTAATGAAACTCTTCCTTTCTATAATTAGCCTCCCATAAATCTAAAAGGTTGTGGAATCGCCCATGGATGCTCTAAAACAACAGATGTCTTTTATGCTTATTCAGGATATAGACTATTCTCATGTAAAATCGAAATGTCTCCCTCCTCCTCTATAATATTTTTTAAAGAAAAGGCATGAAATACCAAAAATTTAAAGACTGAGGGAACAGCTTGACATTCTGATTTGCATTCCATATACTGGGTTAAAATACAAATTGATGAAAAATCTTATAAGCCTCAGAAGAGAGGAAATGCCATTATCACTAAATATATTTAAAACTTAGAAATGTATTCAGGCCCTGGCTGGTTTGGCTCAGCGGTTAGAGCGTCAGCCTGCGGACCAGAGAGTCCCGAGTTCAATTCCGCTGAGGGCACGTACCTCAGTTGCGGTTTGTCCCCAGCCCCAGTTGGGGTCGTGTGGGTGGCAACCACTCGATGTGTCTCTCTCACGTCGATGTTTCTCTCTCTTCACCCCCTCCCTTCCACTCTATCTGAAGATAAATGCAAAAAAATGTTCTCAAGTGAGGATAAAAAAAAGAAATGTATTCAGCTAAGATATACCAAGAACCTACAGACTAGCTGCTCTCACATGTATAATCTTATTTCAGAAGAGACAAAACCACAACCACTTGGAAAACAATATGTATTACTTCAGATTTGGCATTATTTTCAAATATGCTTGACTTTTCCCCCTCAGGTTTTAACTTTTTGGTGAAACATTGTCTGCAAGCTCCTTTCAGATCTATCACTTCCTGTCCTTTAGCTTCAGATGGTCCCTTTTATGGGTTTCTAAATACCTGATGCGTGAAGTGAGAAAGCTACAAAATTTAAACAGGCTTCCTATATGACACAGACACACACCCTGGCCTCTTTTCACTTCAGAATCCACGAATAGTATCTCGCATCCAAGTCTAACACTAAGGCAAAAGCCTTGAAACAAAATCTCAAAACCCACACATGAAAATGAGTGTCTTTTATAGTAATTCAGGAGGGATTCTTAGATCAATTTTCAGAGGGTTCATGAAGACTCTGGCACTCAATGAAAAATTATGTGAGAGCATTGTCTGGTGAAGAAAATCCACAGTTTACTATTTACGAGCCACTGATTCAAGAAGAGACTGTGTACAGGGACCTCACAAGGGCCCCTCTCATTAATGCATAGTTATAACTTCAATCCCTGCCCCCAATCACTACACTGGGTTTAGTTTAAAAACTCTTAAGCTACTGGGGGAAAGAATCTCAGCATCAAAGAATAAAACTTGTCACCCCTAAGAAATTCAAGGGGAACGTGCTACAAGTGCTGTTTTAAGCAATTTTAAGTGTGGACTAAATCCTTGAGCTAGAACACTCACTAAAACACAAATTCAAATAGGTTTGTTTAAACGAAATTCAGTCACCCTACAGCATACATGTTAACAGTGAGCCCTCACTGAGGGATGGACTAAAGGGACACTAAACATAAAGTTGGAAGGGAATATGGTCTCATCAGTACACTGGGTGTGGCAGGAGGGACTTGGGCAGCTACCCTGGGAAGAGAATCAAACTCCCAGGAACAAACTTTAGAAAATAATGTCCTTCTCAGGCAGGTGGTTCAGGTTTGTTGTGCACAGTGAAGCCATAAGGTCAGGAGACACCCAAAATTTGGCCTAGATCTCCACTCTTTACTTACATAAAGCTCTTCTCCTCTAATAACTACTGGATATTTAAAGTACATTGATTTGAAGGGGGAATCAAATTGCTAACCTGCCCAGTGACCTTGGCCTTGGGCTGGCCCCATTCAGAGTTCAGGTACTGTGAAGCCCTGTTAGACAGGCTCACACACCAGATGTACAGGAAACACCAGAGTCATCATCACTAGACAATAAATAAGTTGCCTCCCACAAAATCTGGTATAAAGTGAAACAATGTGAAGGAAGAAAAAGGAGGAAGTCGAGCATTGACTACGTAGGCATGGTGACTGAGCATTTTACAAACCAAAACTCACACAATCAAAATTACAGAAAACACAGAGAGACTTTCATGTCTTCAGGACTTTACAAATTGGAGAGAGTGAGCAACCAGACCATGAAACCTCCTTCCCATTTCCCATGTAAAATGATACTGTCCCTGGTACCTTCCATTGAACTAAAATTAATAAATTCTATATGATAAAGGGTATACAAGCAAGCAATTTTTTAAGTGGCCAAAACATATTTGAAAAATATGCTCACTTTTAATTCATGTACAATTTAATAAACAGGATACCACATTATCATCAAAATGCCAAAGATTAAAGACAAAGAGGATCTTAAAAGCAGTAAGAGAAAAGCAGTTAGTTGCCTACAAAGAAATTCCCACAAGACTATCAGCTGATTTCTCAAAAGAAACTTTGCAGGCCAGAAAGGAGTGGCAAGAGATATTCAAAGTGATGAAAAGCAATGATCTACAACCAAGATTACTCTATCCTGTAAAGCTATCATTTAGAATTGATGGACATATAAAGAGTTTCCCAGACAAGAAAAAGCTAAAGGAGTTCACCACCACCAAACCAGTATTATATGAAATGTTGAAGGGTCTTTCTGAAGAAGAAAAACAAAAATATGAACAATAAAATGGCAATTAATACATATCAACAATTGAATCTACAAACAAAATGAGCAAGCAGAACAGAAACAGACTCATAGACACAGAGATCTTTTTTTGCCTTCCAGATGGGAGGGGGATGGGGGGGATGGGAGGAAGGGTGAAAAAGATGAAGGAATTAAGAAGTACACCTTGATTGTTAGACTGATGAACCTCAAAAGGAAGGGGGGAGGGAGGGCAGGAAGAGATAAATCAAAGAACTTCTATGCATATATGCAAAACCAATGGACACAGACAATA